ACATGTGGGTTAGCCATTGGTTATTCCTTACTATCAATATGTGATCAGCCCATCTTTTGTCATCATATATTTTGTTGATTATATACTTTACAATATTTCTTCTTTGAAATCTTTTTTTTTTTGGTTAGGCAATGGGGTTGAGTGACTTGCCCAGGGTCACACAGCTAGTAAGTGTCAAGTGTCTGAGGCCGGATTTGAGCTCTGGTCCTCCTGACTCCAGGGCTAGTGCTCTATCCACTGAGCCACCTAGCTGCCCCTGCAATATTTCTTCTGTCAATTGTTTTTCATGATATGCTGCATCCAGCTCACAGCTATTATTTGCCTTTCCATTGCCCTTTGGGTAACATTAACTTCAATTCTTTGGAGACTATAGTGTTTAACAGCTCATAACCTTATGGTATTAAGCATCTTCCAGCACTCACTCCAACACTCCAATGGCTCAGAAGACTATTTGTGTTAAAATGATAGGTCTTTGTTGCAGATAGAAGCTAGGCATTATTAAGAGAACAGGGGCAGCTAGGTGGAGCAGTGGATAGAGCACTGGCCCTGAAGTCAGGAGGACCTGAGTTCAAATATGGCCTCAGACCAAACAGTTGACACTTACTAGCTATGTGACCCTGGGCAAGCCACTTAACCCCAATTGCCTTTAAAAAAAAAGAGAGAGAGAGATTGAGAGAGAGAGAGAGAGAGAGAGAGAGAGAGAGAGAGAGAGAGAGAGAACATGGCAATTTTCCAAAGACCTGCTCTCCTCCTGTTCAATCCTGGGCTTGGCTCATTGTCTATTTGAAGAGCGTGTCCAAGATAGGTATATTAATGGACAAGCTCCAAAGCTTGTCCATCTACCTACATAACAAACTAAGACAACGCAGTACAAACACAGTTTTAAACTGAAGGTGAGAATGGCCATTATGTAGTTGTGAACAGAGTCCTGGACTTAACACCTGGAGTCAAATCCTCCTGTATACTCTTATTAGCTCTGTGACTTTGAGCAAATTATTTAACATCTCTGGGCCTCAGATTCCTACTCTGTAAAATGAAGAGGTTGGATTTATGATGACTAAGGTCCTTTTCTGTTCTAAATTTATGATCTTAGGAGGAACAAGGAAGGACAAATCCACAGTCATTATAGAACACTGTAAATGAATATTCTTAGCAAAACTTTAAAATTTTTTCCAAATGTGTAGTAGGATACAGATAGTTGGTTTATTTAAACACAGCTGACTTAATGTCATATCAGATGAGGGGTCTTCAAAAACAAAATTCATTGCACATATGAATAGGTATATGTGTCTTTTTCATAGGCAATGGGATATAATCTATAGAGGGCTAGTTTTGGAATCAGGATGAGCTGAGTTCAGGTCCTGTTTCTGACATATACCTTTTATGTGATCATAGAGAAGTTACTCAATATCTCAGCCCCTAGGATGGTAAGTTACACATGAATATCTGATTTATATCAATGGAGGGAGTTTCTACATTGAGAGAATTCCCTCATGAGACCACAGATTAAGACAAAAAACAATGTCCTTAAAACCACATCCAAATACATGAAATGTGAGAACTAGACACATTTATATAGTGATCAATATATCATGCATTATATTCTAATACTCTCAGTCATATCCAGATAAAAATATTACCATTACTTTTCCTTCAGCTTATCTTTAATTTATTTTTATTTACCTTATCTTTTACTCACTTGCTCCCATTTATTGAGATCCCTTACATCAAAAGCATACTCCAGACAGGGAGAACCAGGGAACAGGTATAGGGTGGAAAAAGAGGATTTTGGATATCTTTCTGGGAGTCTTAGTTGAAGAAGTGCAAGAATCACAGAATTGCAGAGTTGGAAGGAATCCTAGCAGCTATTTAATTCAAGTCCTACTATCATGCACTCAACAAATGGTCAATGAACCTTTGCTTGAAGACTTTCAACAAGGAGGAAACCAATGAGACAACTGCTGCACTTTTGGATAGTCTAATTGTGGGTAAGTTTTTCCTCACCTCAACCTAAATTTGCTTCTATGAAATTTCCATCCGTTGTTCTTGGTACTGCTTTCAAGGACCAGATAGAATAAGTATAATTCTTCTTCCATATGACAGTCCTTCAAATTCATGAAAACAGCTATTACGCTTCCTCCTGTCTCCCCCCCTCCCAAGTCTTCCTTTATCTAGGGTAAATACATTTCATTCCTCCAATTGATTCTTACATAATCCACAATCCAGGACTTCCAACTTCCTGGTTGCCCTTCTCTAAGGGCTCTCCAACTTATCAATATCTTTACTAAACTGTGGCATCCAGAGCTAATTGAACACAATACTCCACCTGTGGTTTGACCAGGACAAAGTATAGAGGAACTGTTCAGAAGTTGTGTGGTACATTGGAAAGGACAGGAAATTTAGAGTTAACCCGAATTTGAATCTTAGCTCCACCACCTGTATGATCATCACTTTCACTTTCTGGGACTTGATTTCCTTATCCTTCAAATTATAGGGTTGGACTTGATAACCTCTAAGGTATCTTCAGACTCAAAATTATGATGCTATGATCTCCTCATTACTGGAAGCCATGCCTCTTTTAATGTAACCCAAGATTACATTAGCTTTTTGGGTTACCATATTACACTACTCACACATATAGAGCTTGTGGTCCACCAAAATCCCCAGGTGTTTTTTAAGGCAAATTGCTATCTTGGGATGCTTCCCCCACGTCGAACTTCTGAGTTTTAAAAATTCAAGTATAAACATTTATATTTGCCTCTGTTGAATTACATCTGATTAGATTCAAACCGCTCTAGCATGTCAAAGTCTTTTTGAATCTTAAATCTGTTATTTGTTATATTACCAACTTTGTGTTAGCTGCAAATTCAATAAGCATGCTATCAATGCCTTTAATTGGTAATAAAAAAAATTTTAAATAGCACAAAACCAAATACAGATTCCTGAGGCACTTCACTGGAGACCTTCTACTAAGCTTACCCAACTATTAGCAATTGCTTTTTGAATGTGGTCAGTCAACCAGTCCCTGATTCATATAATTCAATTAATATGTGACCATTTATCTCCATTTTCCCACAATAGAACAGGATATTTTATAAAATGCTTTGTAAAAATCCATGTAAACTATATTTACAGTATTCTCCTGAGTTAATACTTTAGCAATCCTGTCAAAAATGGAAATAAGGTTAGTCTGGCATGATCTGTTTTTGATGAAGCCATTCTGGCTCTTTGTTATCATTATTTCTTCTTCACCAATACATTTGATGTCCTAAAGTGAGAATCAAAACAAATCAAGTCCTTCAACAGTCATCAGGAGCAGGGTTTTGTTAAAGCCCCATTTTGTCAGAGACAAAAGAAGTAAAAGATTGTTGATGGATATTCACTCTACCTTCATAATCATCACTTGATGTTTCATTTACATCTTCCCTATTCTATTTCTATTTCTTTATTTTCTTATGTGAACTGCTGTGGAAGTCCTCTTATAGTATCAAATGTTAAGCAGCAATAGTAGCTACCTCTGGGGAGGACAGAAAAAATGAAGCTCCTCAGATTTTGAAATGATTTTTTTCCTTTGTCTGAAGAAGACATGTATAAATAAAATCAGTTCCTATACTAAGAGTCTATGCTTCAGAATTGTCATTATCTCAAAAGTCTGGGATTGTTGTCCAAAAAAAGGCTCAGTCTGCTGCAACTAAAGAACTCATTGAAATGCTTTCTTCTGTGTGTGTTGTTTAAGCCATACGTGTATGTGATCTCTTCCCATGTAGATGGAAGCAATTCTGAGAGCATTATACTTCTAAGAAGAAATCTTCACACATTCACAACTCTTCTTTTAGAATAGGGACACTAAGCATTTTCTTTTCTTATGCTGACGGAAAATACTCCCAAACTTTGAAAACTACCAATGTCTTCTAATTTCTAGTCTTAAGCTAATGAGCATGCTGGTGTGAAAGAACTCCTAGCCACTAACTGAACATTTTGCTTAGGCAAATCTGGCAATCCAAAGCAAATAAGGACTCAGAAATTAACTGGGCTTATTTGGGAAAGGGGGTGGGTGTGTAAATAGAGAAAGAAGGAAGTAGGAGTAATGCTAAATCTAGTTTAGACAATGTGCCCATTCCTTGTCCAAATTAGGAGGGTGGTTATGCACAATCTTTCAGGAGAGGTCCTGTTTCTTAGCTCTCCTATTAACAAGAGTAAGACGGCGTCCACATACAATCGCTGCCTTGTATATACGTTAGTACCCACTCAGATGGACATTTGCATATACATAAGTGGACATATACTTCTGTCGACATAGACATACACACGGACACGTTCACACTCATGTTCACTGCCCATCAAAAGGTATTCACACCTATAGAGCCAAATTTCCACAGGCCCATGAAACCCCTTGATTTCAGCCCTGTTCACAGACTCTGATTACCTGCATCCTTGCTAGAGCTTTTAAATCAGCCCCATTTTGGCGCTTTCGAGGGGAAATCCCAACTCTGAGCCCACCGTGAGTACACTAGATGAAAGGAGAAAAATGGGACTGAATACTAGAATGGCTGAGAAGAAAAGACACAACTGCCCTCATCCCTTCACTCGTGTCCCCAAGCTCCTCACCTCCCATTCCTATCTTCTCCCCGGCTACGGGCGTAGTCTTGGCGGGCAGGTGAGCTCCCGGTGCCACCTGGGCGCTGGGCGGGCGGGGAGGGAATGTTTTGAGCTGCTTAGCGGGGAGGAAGCTGGAGCTGGCCAGTTAGGGAAGCTGCGATCATTCCTCTTGGAGCCTTCCCTATTCCCTCCTCCCCTCCCCCAATTGGGAGACCCAGGACTCACTCTCATCTCTCCCTCCCTTCCTCCTCATCCCCTTCCACAAGTACCCAGCCCCTCGGGCTTGGGCACGCAGCTACAACACGCCGGCGCTCACTCCCCTCCACCAACCTGGAGTGACGCAAGCAGAGACTACTTAAGGGAGGATTAGAGGCGGCAAGACGCGGATTCCCAGTCTGCTCCGCTCTGTGCACTCAGGGTCGCGATCCCGGCCCGGCCTCCGAGGCGGGAAGTAAGGCAACAGCCAACACTCTTTGAGGCTGCAAGAAGAGGGGCGGGCTGCCCTGGGACAGAGACAAGGCAGGGACGTTGGCTCCCCACCAACCCACCCGACTGGGAAACAGGAGCAAGAGATCTCTTTCCAGCTAGCAGCAGCCTAGTGACCAGTACCTTCTCCCAGTCGCCCCCACCCCCTGCCTGGACAGAAGCCACACAGGGAATCTTCCCCAGGCTGGACAGCAATTGACCGGTTGGTGCCCTAGTCCCTGGACAGCACCAGCTGCTATCCCAAGTCTCTGGACTTGCTTGGATTTCCCCCCCCTCTTTTAAGTGGAAAAAAAAAAGAAAAAAGGGAGGGAGGGGGAAGAGTAGTGGATTAGGTTTATTTTGCTTTTATTTTTGGTCTTTAGCCCCCTGTTGTGGGGTGGTGACTGGGGAGGGGGCCAGGAGCAGGGACGTGCCTAGCGCTGCCCGGTCTTTGTCTGCTGCCTCCGAATGCACAGCGATGGGGGAATGGACCATCTTAGAGAGGCTGCTGGAAGCCGCCGTACAGCAACATTCCACTATGATTGGGAGGTAAGGGAGCCAAGCCGCGCTGGACCAGAATCTGACAGTGCCCACCCCTTCCCATGGTCCTCTTTCCTGAACGATTCGAGTCCTCTTTCGCGTCCCTTTCCTTCCCCCGTCTTTCCCTCCCTCCTGCCTGGGCCCCTGGGTTCTGCATATGGTGGGACCAGCTCAAGCCCAGAGCTGCCCCTCTCTCTTCTGGCTATTTCCTTATCTCCCCGGGATCTTCTCGAAAGTTGATCGCTTGCTGGGAGGCCCCTTCCGTGGGGTAACTCTTCCCCCATCGGAACCGGAACTCTGGGTACGGGTTGTTGGGTCCCCTAGTGCTCCGAGTCAGAGCTGATCTCCCTTCTGTTTCCTAAATAGAAGCTGGAAGGGAGTATGGTGTTTGGAGAGAGAAGGGCGAAGAGGGAGATGGAGTCATCCTTTGAAGCTGAAGCTTCTTTCCTCGATTTATTCAAGAAAGCTTATAGTGTGAGAAACACACACATACACCAGGATTATTTTTGTGTGTTTATACATATAAATAGACTATTTTAAATATAACATTAGGACAATATTTACATAGAGGAGAACTAACATTTATAGAGTCCATTCACACGATGCACATCCCTAGTTTGCATTTGATATAGTTGTATGTATATGCCATATACATAATGAATATATATGTTGTGTAGAGATGAATTATGTATAGATGTGTCTGAATCTCTTGCATATACACATGTCTCCAATAGATAGGCATACGCGGGACCTCTGAAACGGAGGTGTACAAATCCCAGATGATCAGAAACCACCATTGCTCTCAGATTCCTAGGTCAGGACCACTGAATGGTGGACAGCTCCCCAGCCAAAGCACCAGGGAAACACCACGGATGGGATGGGAGGAGCAGGGGATCCCTAAGCCAGCAGCAGGCCACTGCACTGAGTGACTCTCAGCCCATGACATTCTTTCTTTCTCCCTCCCTCCTTCCCTGCCCAGGATCCTGCTGACAGTGGTGGTGATCTTCCGGATCCTCATAGTGGCCATAGTGGGTGAGACAGTATATGATGATGAGCAGACCATGTTTGTATGCAATACCCTGCAGCCAGGCTGCAACCAAGCCTGCTATGACAGAGCCTTCCCCATCTCTCATATCCGCTACTGGGTCTTCCAGATCATCATGGTGTGCACCCCTAGCCTCTGCTTCATCACCTACTCGGTGCACCAGTCTGCCAAACAGAGGGAACGCCGTTACTCTACTGTCTTCCTCGCCCTGGACAGGGACCCTCCTGAGTCCATCGGGGGTCCTGGAGGAGCTGGGGGTGGGGGCAGCGGTGGGGGCAAGCGGGAAGACAATAAGAAGCTGCAAAATGCCATTGTGAATGGAGTACTACAGAATACCGAGAATACTAGCAAGGAGAATGAGCCAGACTGTCTAGAGGTTAAAGAATTGGCCCCACATCCATCAGGGCTGCGCACAGCAGCACGCTCCAAGCTCCGTCGGCAAGAGGGCATCTCTCGCTTCTACATCATCCAGGTGGTTTTCCGTAATGCCCTAGAAATTGGGTTCCTGGTAGGCCAATACTTCCTTTATGGCTTCAGTGTCCCTGGACTGTATGAGTGTGACCGCTACCCCTGTATCAAGGAGGTAGAATGCTATGTTTCCCGGCCCACAGAGAAGACAGTCTTTCTTGTATTCATGTTTGCTGTGAGTGGCATCTGTGTTGTCCTCAATCTGGCTGAACTCAACCACCTAGGCTGGCGCAAGATTAAGCTGGCTGTTCGTGGTGCACAGGCCAAGAGAAAGTCAGTCTATGAGATCCGCAACAAGGACCTGCCTCGGGTCAGTGTTCCCAATTTTGGCAGGACTCAGTCAAGTGACTCTGCTTATGTGTGAAAGGATAGATGGGGGGGGGGGAGGACTTGGAGAGATAGCAAGTAGCTTCACTCTCTCCATCCGAACGTAGGGTAGGGCTGGTTCCAGAGAAACTTTTAAACAATGGCCTCAAGAAGGGGAGAAGAAAAAAGAAGCCCAATCCAGTAGAAACACAGGCAAATGACACACCATTGACTCTATAGAGTCAATTGAGTAAAGAAATGGCTTCTTGTGTAAATGGGCCCTCTTTACCTCATGGGTTGGCATGACCTGACTAGTAATGGACACAAAAGGTTACTAGTTAGGACCACATTGAGCTTTGGCTGGGCCCAGGACATTGGTGAATGGTGGGAGTGAAACACTTCCTTGGCATTAAAATTGTGATCAACCTCCTCATTTTATCCCCTCTTCCTGGAACATAGGACAGGCATCTCTGAAGTGCTCCTCTTCTTCTCCACCAGCAAGCCCCTCCCCAACACCCTGGGACAGTTTGCCAGCTTTTTCTATGTATGACCTTACAGCATACCTACTATGGCTTTCTTACGAATCAACCAGAGGGAATTGTTTGGGGTGCGCTGTTAGGACTGGCTATTGAAGAGGTTTGCATTTGAGCCCAGATTGAATGGTCCCTACTTATGATGAAAATCTGTAGAATGTCTCAGATCTCCAATTTTCTAACTCAAACTGCACTGGTGCTGTTTATTAGGGGCAAGGGGTGGGTGGGAAGGGTATTGTAATATGCAAATACAAAAATACTTATATGAGGGTTGTTGCACTGTTTGGAATTGAATCATGAGCCCCAGGACATCTCTGCTGCCTAGCTCGTGAATTTTTGAGAGTGCCCTTTTTGTTTTTAATTTTGGAAGTCTATCAGAGCCCCAGAGTTTGTAGCTTGGTGTATCTCACTTGCTATTTTCTAATGTAGTTCTCTTGCACAGCACTACAGCGCTTGATTTTTGCCATGTTTTGGATTTGCCTGTGAGCTCACACCAGAGACCTTAATCATCCCATGTGAATTCTGGATTCATCAACTTTATCAATTCTTTAAACACACACACACACACACACACACACACACACACACCCCCTAGCACTGGCCTAAGTAACCTGGAACTAAATACTATCCAGCTAACTTATGTATTTATTTATATTTATTTGAGACATATACCAAAGGCTCAAAAGTCATTGCTTTGGACTGTGAATAAATGTTACCTTCTCTCTGCTCTTATTAATTTAAGTGCCATATAATAACCTTGAATATTTCACTATGTATTTAATCAAAGAGTTGGCCAGGGGTACCACTTGGAGTAATGTTTTTATGAAACCCTTTGTTTCCTTTACATTATGACCCTTGATTTAGATATGACAATGGTGTAACATACAACAGTGATCCATCTCAAATAAAGGACTTGCCTTTTTTTTTTGTAAAAATAGGACTTTCTGAGCTTTCTTTCTCCTTTGCTGGGGCCTCTTTTATTTATAGAAACTCTGAAATTTTTATATTTAGCAGAGAACTGGGAAGAGAGGACAGCTTAATCAACTTTATTTGACGAGGACACCAAATCCCAAACAATCACTCAAACAGGAAATGTTTCAGAGACCAGTATATTTTGTGACATTGGGGGTTGGGGTTAGTAGTGGGGTCTTAGAATTGTGAGTGACCTCATGTTTAACCTCTCATTTTGGTTTTCCATCTGGATGCTCTCTGGATGTCTGACAAAACTTACCTCAATGTATGTGCCAATGTCATGAGTCAGCCGGCAGGAACTGGTTCAAGGAGTTGAATGGTCTCTGTTTCCACCACTTTAACCCTGTTATAACAGACCTTTGGAGCAGATACAGTAGACCTCATGATCTTTTCTTCTAGGCCCCACATTCCCAAATTGATTCTTTCCAGGAAGACAAAGAAAACTTCATCTGCCTTTTAATCCATTATTTTGTGTTAGGATATTTCAGAAGAGAATGTTTCTTTGCTATCCGAAAATATCCCGCATTTTAGAGCTTTCAGTATTCTTGTGAGTGATAGTATTCTTCACTAGTGTGTGATGTCAGGTTCAGTGGACTTGGCAGGGTATTGAAAAAAGTTACAGCTTCAAAGTTAAAAAACTTGATTTGAGTCTTAGCTCCACAATTCATTAGCCAAGTCACACTCTCTTTGGGCCTGTTTCTACATATATAAAATATATATAATACACTACCCAACTCCCAGGACTCTTATGAGTATCAAATCAGATAATATATACAAACACTTTGCTAAAAATTTGTGAGCTATTATTATTATTTGTTTAAATTTTGGTTTGGTCATTCATTGCAAAGCTCCCATGGAATTTCTTAGATGATTGTTATACAAATACGTAAGATTTTATTTCATCCTTAATTCGTAGAGCATGATATTTTTTAGAAAGAAAAATGTGGATGATCTAACATATAGGCTTTCATCTTTAATATAAATATGCTTCCCAAGAATATTATTCCTTGGAGAAAGCAATTCTCTATTTTTCATTTTGTAAACTAAAAAGTAAAAAAAATGTTTTAAAACACCTCTGAGAGATGGAGAAAGAGTGTTGCTTGATAGCACTAAGCATATGGTTGGGTGTGAAAGAAATGGGAGTGTAGAAAACAAGGGCTGTTGTATTTATGCCCTGATACCATATGAAATAATTATAATATCTTCTGGGAAAATTGAATTCCACACTAGTTTTCAGATACCTATTTTTTTTTTTTAGGTAGGCACTTCCAAATGTCCATACATTGAACTTAAGGGAGAAGAACTTTGTACCATTATCTCAACACATGTAAACACCCACCATGATTTGTGAAATGTTAGCTATTGTCTCTTTTGTTTCATTTTTAATAAGGGAAGTCTACTGGTAGGTCAAAGGAAAATGTCATCAGTGGGGCCCTCTGGAATGGTGTGAATCAAGAAAGTGTTTTCATATGGGTTCTTAAATTTAAGATCCCCCCCCCATTGAAGGTCTTTTTGAAAGAAGAGGCCTTCTTGACATTTTTCTGACCATCCTCTTCAAATTCCTTTCCATCCTCTGATTCAGCTCATATAATTCAATTCACTAGGACAAACATTTGTGAAGTAACTACTATGTGCACAACACTGTACTAGGCACTGGGAACACAAAGACAAAATGAAAATGGTTCCTGCTTTTGAGGAATTTACCTTCTACTAGAAGGAAATAATACATAGGTAGTACATAGTACACAGAAGATCATTTGAAAAGGGAGAGATCACTAACAACCAGGGGAATCATGAAAGATTTCCTGCAGAAGGATTCTAAGATGCAAAGATAAGGAGGGACTGAGTTCTAGGGATGAGGAACAGCATGGGCAAAGACACAGAGGTGGGAGATGTAATGCCAAGTCTGGGAAACAGCAAGTAGGACTGTTTGTCTGGAATATCATGTATACTATATAATATAGAGGGGGTGACGTGAAATGTCTCGTTCTCATTATGTGTAAAGATCCAAGTTCAGGAATAGGCTAAAGGAACTTGAATTATTAGGCACCAAGATGGGAAAGTTACTTGATAACATTCTTTAAACCTATAATTTAATATTTCAAAATATTCATGATTTCAACAGTTTGCATACTCTCTCACTCTGCTGATATACATTGCAAACTCTTTCTATACCTTAGTAGCTGGTTTCATGATTTCACAGGGTAGCATCAGGGCATGGGGAATCATCACCTGATAGTTTTCTGGTGATGACCCTTTCCAAACTTAGGTAGGCATGTCCTCAGACAATAACATCCAGTTACTCGCTGGTTCCATTTGAGTCTTCTCTGCCTTTATTAGGATTTGCCAAAGCTTATGGCTCATTGGCATAGCCTGGGAACATAAACCCAGGGTTACTTCTGCCCCATGGTGAATTATCAAAGTGGGATTATGGTAGAGATTTAGACTTGTGAAGGGTTAAATAATAATAATAGAAACTAGCATTTGTATAGTGCTTTATTTTTGCAAAGTGCTTTATGTCATGCTACCTCATCTGATCCCACAACAATCTGGTGAAGTGCTTCCTATTGTTATCCATATCCTAGTTGTGTGACCCTGGAAAGTCACTTAACTTCTGTCTACCTCAGTCTCCTCAACTGTAAAATGGAGATCATAATAGCACCTACCTCCAAAGGTTGCTACGAGGATCAAATGAGATAATATTTATGAAGTGTTTAGCTCAGTGTCTGGCAGTAGGTGTTTAATAAATGCTTATTCCTTTTTAAAAACTTTTATTTATTTTATTCTAAACTTAAAAAATAAAACAAACATTTCCATAACATAATAGAATAGAAAAAAAGATTATAGATGAAACTACAGATCTATTATGTACAACTTGTATTCCTTTTAAATATATAATAAAGTTATCATGTAACTTTCTTTTTTTTCTTCCCTCTCTTCTTCCCTCCCCTCCCTCTAGAGATAGCTTCCATTAGGCACAAATATGTATGTATATTTGTATATATGTATATATGTGCATATATACATATATATGTAAAATCATTCTATACATACTTTTATTTATCAGTTCTTTCTCTGGATGCAGATAGCATCTTCTTTCAGTAGCATCTTTCTTTGTAGTTAATTTGGGTATTTAAAATAGCCAAAGTGACTTATTCACTCAAAGTTGTTCTTAAAGCATTATTGTTACTATGCAATGCTCTCTTGGTTCTACCCATTTTGTGAAGAAAATGAGGCTGAGAGGTTAAGTGACTTGCCCAGAGTCACATGGCTATGCGGAATTCAAACTCAGGGCTTCTTGTTCTATTCATTGCATCACCTAGCTGCCAAAGGGAGTAAGCAGGGATAGTTTATATTTCTAGAGGGAAAATAAAATGGGTTTTAGGTAAGGTGGGAGGAATTTAGGGAAGATATTAGAAAGGACTTCCCAGCTATAAGGATGCACAGTCGAAAAGTGGGGTGGGAAGGATGGTAGTGTGTCTGTGATAGGAACCTTTCTTTTAAACTCTTAAGAGGCAAGAGTTAGATCAAATAACTTCTCAAAATCCAGCAAAGCCTGACTATTCTGTGATATATTAGCACCTTACTACCACAATGGGCTTGGGGCCTCTGATGCCATACAGTCCCTTGTGGTATACTGATCATAGGTTCATAGATTTTGAGGTAGAAGAGAAATAGTACTGAGGGATTCAGTCACTATGTCCCAACCACCAGAGTGTTCCACGGTTCCAAATCAAGTTTGGCAAATGCTACATCAATCAATTGCATGACAATCAATCAATTATTTAACAAATTTTATTTATTAAACGCCTGCTATGTGCCAGCCACTGCAAAAGACAATGGGGATCCAAAAAAAAAGACTATGAGGATATGAAGATAAAAAGAAACAACCCCTGCTCTCAAGTAGTTTATATTCTATCGTGAGAGACAACATAAACATACATAATTGTATGCTTAATAAGTAATAAAGAATATATGCAAGGTTGTAAAACAAATGGTTGTTAGGGATGGGAAGCACTAAGGTGAAGAACCTCTACTGTATGAACCTGGGTTAAAGTCCCCAGAGAAAGTCTTGAACAAATTCCTGGGAAATGATCAGGCTGTTTTTGATTTGTGTTGCTCTTTATTAATTCCATTGCATATCTTTAGAGCAGAGGTTTTGAACCTTTCTTTTCCTTTTTTGATCATGGCCCTTTTTAGCAGTTTGATGAAGCCTTTTGACATTTTCTCAGCA